TGGGAACATTAGTGGGAAGTGTTGGGAGAGAGGCCCAATTTTCATTTCACCCATTATGAAGACGCTGGGGGTAGAGACCAGAGTTAACAGACACCCGAGTCCCAGTTCATTCTAATGATGTGTCGGCACCACTTTTTGAGATGTGTCTTGCAGGGCCCAGCAGATGTGGCCCTTTGCTTGTGCACGTCCATACAGGTCCTCTGAAATACAGCCTAGCAGTGTCTCAACCTCAAGTGCTCGATTAATGTGAATTCCCCCTACCCTATGCTAAACTTGTAACACACACCCTGGGTGACTATGGGCTTATGGAGGGGGACTTCCCCGCACAGGGCAGCAAGGGGGATGGATTTCAAGCTTGACCCTGCTCCCTTCTGCCATCGGATGCCTTTCACTGCTCAGATCCTTCATGGGCTTCCCATGAGCTAGACTGACATTCGATTCCTTTGTCAGGGCTCACAGTCCCTTATAAAAGTCCTTGGCAGAGGAGGTGAGTGGAGAAGAAAAATGGGTTCTGCTGCTAATCTTTAATGAAAACCATTTTAAGAGATACAATTTTCCTTGTTTACGTCTGAATCTGGGCAACAACAAGCTGTGCTTTAATGAGGTTCTGGGGCATTCAGAACATTTCAATGTATTTCAGTTCCTTTGGAAAAAAAAGTATTTGTACTGAATAGTGATGGAGTAAGGGTTTTCAAAATTTGCAGGATCTATTTTTGTGAAGATGTGTGCGTGTGGGTTGGATTTTTTAAGGGAATGATTATTGAGTTTTCTGTTTACAAGATGAACATGATGTGGCATCACTTCATATTTTTTTCTCTACTGTGTTTTTAGCACGAGATCGATCAGCCCAAAATTATGCACCTAAAATATATCAAAAAAGTTTTTGATTGATATTGATGCTTTCTTTTTCTCTAAAGGACCTCATCCTGCATAAAGAGAAACAAAGGCTTCCCCATAATTGTCACCATTGATCTCAGGTGATGCTTAATTTGACTTGAAACTGTTCTTATTAAGCAACAATAGGTAATTGTGGGAATAGGATATATTTAATGCTTTTTTTTTGGAATTTTAAACTGAGCAAAAATTGATAAAGCTGTTTTTTTCTTAGAATAAATGATTTTCCTTTGTTTCCTCAGGATGCTAGGAAAACATTTCTCTTCTGCCTAATACATTCTATGCATGAATGTACGTGTCACTCTGACAGTAATTACACGTGTGTGCCCACGTGCAGCCATCCACAGGGAAAGGGGGCGGATTCCAACCCTAACCCAATCAACTCAATCACTCTTTAAAACCATTACGAGAAGCCTCTTGATGTTGGCAAGCATCCAGATTGTTTGCCTAGCTTTGTTTTCACATTTTTTTGAACACCACACATTTTCGTCTCAAAAAAAATTGTCAGAAATGCTAGGAAAGAAAAACTCAATATGAATTAAAACACAAACCGGTTGCGCTTCAGTTGTACATTTTTTTTCCACAGGCAACAGATAGTGGTAGGCATGCGGACACATCTGTTCATTTAGTGACTCCCTCTGTGTGTTTTTTGCATGAGAACTTAAGTGTGTGCTAGGGACTGTGGCAGATACACAACTGAGAGACACATGGCTCTTCCGGAGGGAGAGAATAGAGAGTAAGAACTCAGGCAGAATGGCTAAATGCCACAGATTGTAATATACAGTCCATGCACCCTTTACAGCCTTCATCCCACCCTGCCACTCAGTGCTAGGCTGGGACACGGGTGACCAGTTGGCCTCTGCCTTCTTGAAATGCTCTGTTTTCTTGGAGTTCCTACTGCACCACCCCAGGCTACCACCAGTCCATTTGCTATATGGATCACAATTAGGCACCCCTTCCTGCGGATTGAGTATTGGGCAGAAGTGTGGCACACACAGGGTGGACCCAGCCCATTTCCAAACCCTTTACAGCTTGGAGAGTAGAGTTCAGACAAGCTTGCCACCCTCACTTGCCCCACCCCTACCCCGGTCCGGCATCCTTATACAGACCACAACCTGTACAACAAATCAAATTGATATGAAAAATAACAGCATTCTTCTCTAGGTTCCTTCGGGGTGGGGCAAAGCCCAGGGAACAATTCTTTCCCCAGGCTAGAACCCACCAGGAAGGCAGTAAGCAGTCCTGGACAACCAGTGGGGCCTGAAGCACTCCTATTCTGTAGTGATAACAAGGGTCTTAGCATCTCTTCCTGAATTTTGGATAAGAAGGTTGATAACTATGATTCTTGCCTTGCTTGTTATTGAAAGAAAGAGAGAGAAAGAAAGAAAAGAGTAAATGATTCCATTCTAAAATTTGCTAGACTTAAATTTTGTCAGCTCTATGACCTTGACCTTATTCTATGCCTCTTTAAGCTTCCATTTTCTCATCTATGAAATGGGGCTATTAATAGTACTTCCTAGGTTGGGGGAAAGATTAAATATGATAAAATAGATATTTTTAAACACAGTATTAATGTTGAATAAATGTAGATGGTATTACTAATTATGATGTCTCAGGTTACTTTCTGACTTTTTTTTCCACTCTTGGATACCACTTCCTGACACCTTTCAGCTTTCCTGTATTACTGCTACTTTTCTCTGAGCCTCCAAAATCTATGCCTAATCCCTTGCTTAAAGAATCATTATATGGTCTCCTAAGATCATTAAGGAAAGGTCCCTCGTTCCTCTTAAATGACATCTGAAGTCTCATAACAAGCCAGGGACAAATTCAGATTTTATTTTGTATTTTAGGTCCCTCTGTCCAGGTGCCTGTTCAGACTACATTTTTTTTTATAAGCGTCCCTGCCCCCACCAGAGAGGAGACAAAAGGATAAATGTTTTATCCCAGCTTGCAGCAGGTGTCATTCTATTTGATTTGTAGGCCATTCAACAAAACAAAAGGCCTTTTCTGTTCTTTTACAATATATGCTCTCTTTAAAGGTACTCAAATGAGAAAAAAAAGCACACATGAGCAAGATTTCAGGTTCTAACGGACAGAAACTGGGCTCTTCGTTACTGATTTGCTCTTCACAGGGAAAGTGAGATGCCATTAAAAACATTCTTTTCCCAATAGCATTTAAAATTTTATGATCGTTTGCTCTTGAAATATATGTGAGTGGTATTCTCAGCCAATTAATATGTTTATAGTAGGATTGAAAACTTTGAAGAGCCAGCTAAAGATCCCTTTTATAAGGTGGACCAAGAGAATCTCTGTATGCTTGAGTAACAATATATAATAGCGTGCTTGCTTACTGCAGATGTTTGAAATGTCTCCAACTTGCTAGCCCCAAATTGTTACCATTGGGGTTCAAAAGTGATATACCTTCTAAGTCATACCTGTGGTACAAACATGTGCTTAACTTCCAAAGTTTGATTCTGGTGTCCCTAAGGTTTCATCATAAATATCAATATCGCTAAAGCTTAATTGTCTACTATATGCAAGACACCGTGCTGAGCACTTTATTCATAATGTCATCTAATCTCTCCAACAACTGAATGAGCTCGGCACCACTATTATCCCCATTTCCCAGGTGAGGAAACTGAGGCTTAGTGGGATTAATAGCTTGCCCCAGTTCTCCTAGCTAGTAAGGTCTGGAGCCAGGTAGGAATCTGGGGCCTGTCTTGAGAGACTTTGTGCTCATTAACTCCGAGGTGCCTTGCAGCCTCCCTGTTCATTCATTGCCATGTGGAGGCCTCAGAAAGGTGGGTATGGATATTAGTTTTTGTTTTCGGATGTGATCGCTGTTTTGAGGTAAAACCTTCGGGTCCTGTTTCACTTGGAATCCATACATTGAAAGTACAGGTGACAAAACAAAATTAGCTTATCAACTCTAGTATGCGTGTAAATGAAAAAGAAGTCCAGGGCGCCTGGGTGGCTCAGTCAGGTGGGCGTCTGCCTTTGGCTCAGGTCATAATCCCAGGGTCCTGGGATCGAGCCCCGTGTCGGGCTCCCTGTTTGGTGGGGAGCCTGCTTCTCCCTCTGCTTGACGCTCATGTACTCTCTCCCTCTCTCTCTCTCTCAAATAAATAAAATCTTTAAAAAAAAAAAAGAGAGAGAAAAGTCCATCTGATAAGTGACTTCACAGGAATAAAGCTCTGTGAGTGGAGCTGGAAATCTTGGTAGCTCAGGGTTTGCTTTTTGTGTAAGTGTAAGGAGCTTGAAAAGCTTATATTGATGGTGTCTTGGGGCATTTTAGGACATAGTACTGGTTCTCTGTAGTGCTAAATTTTTTAAAAATTCTTTGTCTTAAAAGTATATTGCACTCTTTCAATTTCTCAAAAGAACTGTTAGTCTAAAAAGTCCTATTTGTGTGTTTTGAGGGGAGTTGCCCAACATTTTTTATGTTCAATAATTATTAATATGGCTTTATTCATTCCTTTGAAAAATATTAATCAGAAATGTACTGGAAAGGGGAGAAGTATTCCGTGGTTTGCGGGACGGTTGGCCAAATCCCACCTACCGAAAGGCGGCCTGTCAAAATTAGAATGCTCTTATTTAATCCCCTAGTCAAGCTATATGATAACATGAAATACAGCTAACCGAAATCAGGACACCTGATAGCAAGATTTCATGAACTAAAAAGCCATTGTACAGCAAGGAATCTAATGCCTTTGCTTCTCATTTCTTTTAATACAAATAAATAAGCTTCCGTGGGCTCGGCGAACCTTAGAAATGATAGGTTTGAGAAACAGATCCGTTGTGGAGCCTGACATTTCTGTAAACAAGCCGACTGAGCATCCCCTTCGGACGCACACGTTTCGGGGTGGGGTGCCTCTCAAAACGGCAAGCCTGTTTGGAAGGGGGGGGGAGAAGCACGAAGTGCAGCTTCCACTGTGCCCGTGAAAGAAGGGGAAGAAAAAGCCCAGCTTTCCTACTGCAACAAGGCTGACAGATGGGGCTTTTTAAAAAAACGTCACTGCAACCAGATCCAGGGGTGCCGCTTTGCCTGCTGCAGCGCGATGCAGTTGTGTATATCTCAGGGACAGACACAAGGGGAAGTAGCAGCCAGTGCTCACGCGGGCTGCTCCCGGGAAGCATTTCTGAAGAGCGAGGAGCCACAGAAGCTGGGAAATTCCTGCTCCTCCGCCTCCCCGGCTGAGTCCGGGGCTGAGTGGCGGCTCAGGTTAAGCCCGTGGGCAGGGGCAGGGGGCGGCGCTCCCAGCCCATCGCTCAGCCCTGCGGAGAGCTGTGTGGGCTGAGCTGTCTTCACCGTGTCAGGGAGGCCAGCCAAGAAACCGTCCCTCCCAGGGGAAAACGGATCACAGTTCAGGTGGGGACTTCCTCGGTAGCGTACCTGGCTGGAGCAGAGCGTGTGGGCGGCCGGCAGCGCGCCGCTCTGGTTATGGCAGCCCAGAAATGAAAGCAGCGGCCGCCGCCGCCGCCTCTGAGGGCTGCGGGCAGATCAGCACCCAGCAAATAAGAAGCAAGTCCTGGACCCCGACGAGGAGGAGGAGGAGGAGGAGGAGGAGCGGCCGAGCATCTCTCTCCCGCTCCTCGGTGTCCTTTAAATGAGGACTCCCTGCCCGTGCCGGAGGTAGATCCGCAGAGCCTTCCTCTCCGCCGCTGACCCCCCGCTTACATCACTAACCTGTGACAGGCACATCTCCACGCCCGGTACCTACTCCTCCGGCGGCTCCCAGTCCAGTCCCGGGAGCCTCTTTGTATAACCGCCGACATGGCCAGCCAGCAGGATTCCGGCTTCTTTGAGATCAGTATCAAATATTTACTGAAATCCTGGAGTAATAGTGAGTAATAGAAAATAACCTTGTTTGTTTGTTTGTTTGTTTGCTGGATGTTGCCTAAGGTCTGAGAAATCAAATCTCAACCAGAGGCATAAGCCTGTGAGCCAAGGAAGTTTTTTTTTTTTTTTTCTCTTTTCGGTTCGGTCTGCTGTGAAAATCAAAATGTCAGAGACTGAAGTAGCTTTCCTGAAGTGCAAAGGCTGCAGTGGAATCACAGTAGATTTTGTGTGATTAAATTTTCAAGGGAGATGGCCCTTCAGACTGGGGCAGAGCGCAGGATGGGGCATTCTAGGCTGCATTTTCTGCCTTAATGTTTATTTGATCAGGCTTTATCTAAGTATTTTGTGAAGTGTGGTTTAATCGAAGGGGTGTGGCAGGATTTCAGAGTACTTCGTAATTGTTTTATTAGGGTATTGTCTGGAGGGAAAAAAATGTACTTAATAGTCCAAAATCTAAGACTCATCTCTTTTGTATATAGAGGCATTTGCAGGTTTATTTCTCTCTCCCTTGTCCATGTGGATGGTGTTCAGAATGCTATTTAATATTTGGATTTGTAAAAGTCCTGATGTGTTATAGTCCAAACCAACAACATGCTTTGCTGAAATATAAACAAAGTAAGGTTCTGACCATGATCAGTTATTAGGATATCAGAATGTTATGGCTTCTGAAGTTCCATTACTGACCTACTTAAAGATTTTAGCAATAACATATTTCCAGAAGACAACCTCTAAGGCATCATGGATCTGCAATCAAATTAAAACGAGGCCTTCAGGTGATCAGTGATGCCTTGTGTCTTCTGAACGGTTTAAAAACAAAGTCTTCTCTATTTCTCCAACAGCCTTTGTGCTTGCTCTGGATAAAAGACCAGCAGGTATTACAGATCCTTAATTGTTTGAAATTCAAAACAATTTTTCCAAGAAAAATTCTGATGCCGTATTACATGCATGGCTAATTAACCTACCTGTGCTCAAAGTGCTGGAGATTAATTATCTCCTACCCAGCTGACCTGTGGCCAAGATTGTTCTTATGTAAACAGAACCTGGGCAGGAGAACCCATAATTGCTTTAAGAAAAGAGCCAAAGTAACTTCAGCCTTAAGGTATTCAGGGATATGCATCTCTAAATGATATCCAAAGAAACCATTTTTTCCCAGGTCATTTTGCACCACTGTATACACGATGGGGCTTGTCTGAGGCTGTTTTTCTACAAGTGGGAAGCCATTTGGGAGTCCTACTGTCACCCAAATAGCATTCCTTTATTTGTTGTAGTCGTAATTCCTTTATCTTGGATCCATTATTTGTGTGATACTTCACACTCCAGGATGAACCTTCCTTTGTCTATCCACCCTTTGATTAATGAAAAGGATTTGACACACAGAGTTCTTAATGGAGCAGTTTTCCAATAACTGGAAAGACTTACTCTGAGTTTGACATCGGTATGTGGTTTTGAATCATTTTGAGTACATCAAGGCCAGATGATTTTCTCCTATCAATTTTTGTCATTGTCTCATTAGATAGAAAATTATGTGGGACAATACTGAGGCCAGTGGGATTTCTTTTAAAATCTTTCTCCCCTTGTCAGTTTTCAAATTACTCTAGACAAAGTGTATATTCTCTCCACCTTTCCTAACGTACCCCGCCCCCCAACACACACACACACACACACACACACACTCGCTCTCTCACATCAGGAAATGGTTCAAAATGACTGTTCATATCTACTTTGAGAGTATCCGGGACACAATGTTGAATTCTTTAAATTCATTCAGCAAATATTTATTCAACACCTACTACGCCAGGCTGGGGGGCTGCAAAGGTGAATGAGACACCATACCTGCCCTCTCTCTTAATTTCTTCATTACAGAAGCGTGAACTTGGTGATTCTCTTTAGCATTCCTTTGGAAGTCAGAATGCTCTTCAGTCCTTTCTTGAAAGAGGAAGAGGAAATATACTTTATGCTTAGTCTTCTTTAAGCTTGTTGCAACACTAACCTGCTCATAACCTAGCTTTGCTCTGGGTCTTACATATTTTCAGTAGCAAAGAGAGAAAGGAGATTGTCTGGCGGTAGAAAACAGTAGCCTGAGGGCTTTGACCTACTCAGTGTAACTGGGCTGAGAGGCTGCATCAGGGAGCAAGCAGCTGGAGTGGCCAGCAGCAGGTTTGAGAGGCCAGGATGCCTGCCCACATACCTGAGTGGAGAAGCCGGCTCCTAATTACACAGTGGTGCTTATTTATAAAAGTACAATTAAAAAGCAATAAAACAAGCCGTGTAACTATGGCTGACTGCTTTGCAAGGTGGTAGTAAGAGGAGGGATGATTCCATGAACATGTCCGTTAAGGTTTCCATTCATTTTTTTTAAAGGGCACACTGTGGGGGAAATGTAATTTCATGTATATCTGTCTCCTCTGAAGAATTAACAAGTCAATTAAATCCGTGATTGCCTTGGTGAGATGTGTTAGCTTTTTATTCACTGTTCATTTTGACACTCTTCTTCACTGGCATGCCCACTCTGTCAGGCTGCCCTTTCATTTTAATGGAGTTGGGAATTAAAATGGCCTTGATGTCTGGAAATAAAATGTCCTTTGTAGACCTCACTGTGGAGGCTTTCCGTAGCCCCTCGGACCTCCCCCGCTATTAAGTCCTGTGGCTCCTTCCCCAGTCATATCCAGGCTTTTCCACAGCCATTCAGTGATTCTCACAGCTGCTCCCTGTGGTGTTCACAGCCACAGCCTCCATGGGCCTTTCTCAGTTTAACCTGGAATGTTCCGGTGGTCTCCTGAAGGTCCCCCTGACACCGGCGGGGGGTGGGGGGGGAGGGCTTCTGGAGAGGCTTCTGCCTGCATTTCAAAGACCCCACCACAGCTCTCTCTCGCCCCTGAGTCTGTGACTGCCATTCAGGACCCTCTTTGAGCTCCTCATCCAGCCTCTCTCCCCGATTGTTCTTCCACTCCAGCTGGATTTAATCTGCTCACCCCTTGTCTGCTCTCACTCCATGCCTGTGCACACATGGGCCCCCTGATCTGGTGAGCCCTCAGCTAGAACACACAAGTCGCAGGACCAGATAGGCTTGGTTCGGATCTCTAACACCTGCACCTGTGTGGCCTTCGACAGTTAATTAACTCCTCTCTGCTTCATTTTTCTCATCTGTGAAATGGAAGCAAAAAGAATGGATACTCCACAGGAGTAAATGAGGTATTTAAAAATTAAAGCGCTGAGAACAATATCTAGCTCATCGTAAACACTCAATAAATGTTAAAATAATATGAATGTATTCCAACGCTCCCCTCGCTTCTAAACCCACTTAAAATCAGAGTCAGACCCCTGACATCACTTGTGGAATATTCTGTGAGTAGTCAACACTTGCCGCACCCTTAGAGAAGGGAACTGTGTGAATACACCAAAAATAGTTGCTTCCTTAGATTTACTTTTCAACATTCCTCCCTTTTCTACCTCAGCTACTATTAGAATATTCCTACCTCCCCTAAGTAAATACCTCCCAGCAGCACATGAGATGGCCTGGCTACGGTCTCAGTAGCAGGAAGTCCTCTTAGCCTTTCAGCTTTGCTACAAAGTTTACAGCAGATCCTTCCAAGCTATTTCAGAAGAAAGGAAGGCGTGCTTTTTAGTGATGTATGCGCTTTTTAGTGATGTATATAGAGGGAGTGTGTGGGCTCTCCCACCCATCTGGCATTCCTTGTGTTTCTGTCTACCCCCTAGTGTCCAAACGAACAGGGCCCAGTGAACAAAGGTACATTCTGAGCTTCTTCAATGTCTTGATCTTCCCAGGGCAGTCTGCATCTTTCTTAACATTTGTCATATCTTGCCACCCCATCGAGGCGAACTTTTGAATGCTTGTTAACTCTTTTCGAGTAACAAGAATTCTATTGACAAATAAACTGGTCTGGGGAACTGAGCAATCCCTTTGCCTGTTTTGGAAGGGCTGCTGTGCATTGTGAAATGTCTAATGTTGCTCTAGAAAAACTTGCATCACTTGGGAGAATTGGATGTGGCATTTTTCAGATGTATCGTAGTGAGCTAAGTTGTGGTGATGAAGGACAATATTTCTGTCCAACATAGAAATGCTGGTTAGTGGGGGTGCCTGGGTGGCTCAGTTGGTTAAGTATCTTGACTTCAGCTCCGGTCATGATCTCAGGGTCCTGGGATCAAGCCCCACGTGGGGCTCCCTGCTCAGTGGGAGGTCAGCTTCTCTCTCTCGCTCGTGATCTCTCTTGCTTTTGTTCTGTCTCAAAGAAATAAAATCTTTAAAAAAAAAAAAAGAAAGAAAGAAATGCTGGTTAGTGTCGGGTTAACTCTGGGGACAGAGAGAGATCACACGCACATGGGGATGGGAAACACCACTGACTGAGTGCAGAGCAGGACTTACCCCTGTTTATGTCATCAATGTAGCTCAAAGACCCTACAAGAAAGGCTTAAGAGAAACCTCAAGGTGTTAGTTTTCACCTCTTTGTGAAGCTGAGGTGAAGAAGTAGAAAACTAAAGTTAAACAGGTTGCCTGAATCCAGCAGAGCGGTACAGCTGCAGAGCAGGCGAGCTTCCCTCAGTGCCCTGAAACCGTAGAAAGCGCCCAGCACCTTCCAGGGGTTGGGGAGGGAGTTACTCCCGTGTTCCTGCCACTCAGATGTCTCATCAGACCTGCCCTCACTCAGGTCGTGGTCACTTCTGCCCAAGTAGTTTATAGTCCTAATGAGAAACGAAACCCCAAATCAACATCTACTCTGAGTAGAAAGAGCCTGCTTCTGGGTTTGTGATGAGGATCAATAACGAGTGGGGGGTTTTGTGTGTTTGTTTTGTGTGTTGTTTTTTTGTCGTTGTTAATATGCTTGAACAATTTTAGAAGAACAGCAGCTGTCACATTGACTGAGGGGCCACTCCCTGTCAGATGTTATGCTTGGTAATTTATATGTAGGGCAGCCACATCATTATTTGTCCAAACTGGGACACTTTTGAGAGTGAAAGTTAATAATTATACTGGGACTGCCCTGG